TGTCTACTATACGATCAGCCATAGACGAAGAAATGCTCTTCATATATATTCATTCTGGAGATTGAATCGTAAGCGGGATTTGCCGAAGTAGGGGTTTGCTAAGACGTACACAGACATCAACGAAGGTTGCTTCATTGAACTCTCTGGATTATTTGTTAATACGCATGATCGATTCATGTGACCACGGAAAAACGGACACTGAAACGATTAAAACTTTATTCTGGGCTGGTGTCAACCGACCATATTTTGGCATATGCCACACTTGACGAAGCGGTAACCCACACGGCGACTGGGCGATGGACTGTCCAACTTGCCTCGCTTGGCATTTTGGTGAGCTGAAAGTCAATCCGGATAGGATATGCGTTCATATTAGGGATGGGGGCAGTAACTCAGTGAGCGGCAATCATCCGTAAGTGCGTCGATGGCAGCAAAAGCGGAGCATGCCACGTTGAACAATTTGGGCATGCGGTGTTTTGCGATATCCGTGTTACTGTGGAAGGTGTCGAATCGTCCTGCACGGTCATCCAGCCAAGCTTGCTCTTGAACTTCTAGGCGGAACACTTTAAGCGGTAAGAATCCCTCATAGGGGTGCATTGGTAAGAATTGCCGAACCAGCCTGCAGAGTTGGTCGGCATGCCTGAATAGATACCGGAGGTTCTGAAAGCGAATGGCGCAAGAGGTGTTGTAGCGCGATTTGGCGGTAGCGGCATCTGATCATTTCGTACGGTTTACATATTGAAAGTGCAAGCGGAAGGGGACAACTACGGCCTCTGGCGCGCCTTCGAAGGCTGCCTGAAAAATTAAATTTTATCGCGAGAATGTGCGTGGACAAAACTATGCCGTATATGCGCTCGTCCCTGACGGGGTGTTACAAGGGCGGAATGAACCAAGCGAAAGAAGTATGTAGATGTGCTTTCAAGTGCGGTAATTTGCGGTGTACGTGACTGTCTGAGGGTTCCTTGGGGTTCTGGAGGGCTTGTAGTGAAGGACGCACGTTGTAGATCCAAACAAAGCCTTTAACGGAAATCATATACTTGTCGAAACTACGTAGACCGGTGGTAACATTAATAGGATTA